GCCCGATGTGGGGCTCGATCCCAGGACCCTGGGATCATGACCTGAGCCGAAGGCAGAGGCTTTAACCCACTGAGCCACCCAGGCGCCCCCTATCTTCATTTTTTATCTGAAGAGAATGAGTCTCAGTGATATTAAAGGATGTATTAATGAAAAATGCTGCAGGTGGGGACTGGAATCTAGATGTGTTTGACCCCAGAACTCATGAACATTAACCTGTATCTGACTCTCTCCACACGAGGTTGGATCTGGGAATACCTGCTGGTCAGGAGGCAGCCCATTTTACTCAAATGATTAAAAAAACTTCACACTCCTACTTTAGCCCCCATAAACCTCTAAACTGGAAGTAATGGGAGGGCAGGGAGTGCAAAGTGATAGGCTTGAATCTTTAACCAATACTTTTTCTTCCTGCAGTCAGCAGGGTTCATTTTCCCAAATACGCAGACTGAGAAAAGCAATGACACTGAACGTTAGCCTTAACAACTGACCTGTTATCCTGCTGAGCCTTCATCTTCCAAGAGCTGTTGCTCAAGCCTCCTTTTAGCACCACATCCCACCTCCCTAATATCTTGTTATTCAAGCTTATACTTGGTTCTTCTGTTAGACTTTGAATTCTACTGGATCTATCAAGTTTTCTTTATTCTTCTTTTTCCTCAACTGGATTAAAAAATATTCTATCGCTTTTAGAGATTACCCTTAAATTTTTAATTTGTATCTTTGATTCGTAATTAGTTGGCATCTCGAGAAACACCTTAGAATGCTTTAAGTACTGGCATGCCTGGGTGGCGCAGTTGGTTAAGCATTCAGCTCTTGGTTTGGGCTCAGGTCAGATTATCTTGGGGTCCTGGGAATGGGACTGCACTGGGTTCTGCGCTCAGCCTGGCCTCTGCTTGGGACTCTTTCTCCTTCTCCTTCTGCCTCTCCCCCTTGCGCTCTTTCTCTCAAATAAATCTCAAAAAAAAAAAAAAAAAAAAAAAAAAGAAGAAGAAGAAAAAAAAAAGGAGAATGCTTTAAGTACATTCTTTGTATTGTTAACTTGTGATTTTAATCTAATTTGTTTTGAAATCCCATTAATCATTGTTACTTAGTATATGCTTAGACTTCACAACATATTTACTAATTTTATCTCATTCTGTCTTTCCAGGTTTAGTTTACTTCTTACTACCATACATCCTTTAGAAATTCCCTAGTGAGTCTATGAAAGAAAAAAGTGGACAGTATTGAATTTATATCCAAAGGCAGGCTTAGGACCCCATTTCCTCTTTTACTGAGATTCAAGGCCTACTCTGTTCCTAGGCACTTGTCATCATGAACCTGCCCCTCTTGTCCTGTTTTTTGTTTTCAGTATTTTGTGTATAGAAAGTAGGCTTTCCGGGCGCCTGGGTGGCTCAGTTGGTTAAGCAACTGCCTTTGGCTCGGGTCATGATTCCTGATTACCAGGATTGAGTTCTGCATCGGGCTCCCACCTCCATGGGGAGTCTGCTTCTCCCTCTGTCTCCTCTCTCATGCTCTCTCTCAAATAAAATCTTAAAAAAAAATAAAAAAGTGGGGAAGAAAAAAATAAAGTAGGCTTTCCCATCTGCTCTTTTAACCATAGACTACTTCCATGCCTTTGGTGTCTATTACCGAGTGGAGGCATATAAACAAGACAAGGCATTCTTGGGATGTTACTACAAGGGAGAGATGCAGAAACATGATCCAGAAAGGTGAGCTGGAAAAGGAAGAAGGACACAGTGTGAAATGGGACCTCCCTTCTCGCCATATACTAATATAGTAATCTGATTTTACCTCTGCCTTTACTTACTGGAAAACCAGGGTCTGTGGACATGAGGAACTCTTTCCTTTGTACGGGTTCTCCTAAATACTCACTACTTAGATATCAAATCACTGTCTAGACAGGACAAGAAGTTTAGAGTTATTTAATTCAAGAGAATATTTTTATGTTTGTGGGGATGAGAAAGGAGATACTAAATGAAATACCCAATTAATAAGTGAACATTATTTAAAATTAGAAGAACATGGAGAAGGCACAGGTTTATCTGGTGAGAATAAAAGGAAATGACCAGTTATGTGAAGGGGAATCATATCTCCACGAAGTTTCAAGATGGGAAAATGCTCATATATTCTAGAGGGAAAAAGAGTATTTCAGAAAAGAGAGAAGAAACATCTTACCTGAGGCATGGCTTTAAGATTTGCAAGAAAGGACCTTTTGCTCTTTCGGATTTTTTATTAGAAAAGTGAACAAGGGAGCGACAAGAGAGGTAAAATAAGCAGTGTTAAACCCTACTTACCATAAGAACTTCCATAATAACTTGGTTAAATCTGCCTAGTTAAGTAGTAAACATTTACTATTAAGAATCACTGTGTTAAAAATTCAGTAATACAGGTCTGAGTAATAGAGAAGAAACTGATTATGTACTTCTCTGCACTGCAGGCTCATCATACAGAATAAATTTTTCCTTTAAATAAAGTTTCAAATATTAATTTCTACAGCAAATTTTTTTTAGAGAATAAGACTGTGACTAGAAGTATTGCAGAGTATTTAGAGTGTCTGAAAAATTATTAAATCACCATGATTTCATCTAGGAAAAGGGGGGGGAAACCTCTCAAATCTGTTAAAAGCACATAGTGATAAAAAATAGTTTAAAAAGTGTTTATCCTGTGTGCTACTACTGAATCCTGGTCATTTCTTTATTATTATTACTATTGTTATTTAAAAATTTTCCTAGTCAGTTCAACACATTAGGATTTGCTAATAGTGTTCCAAGTATGTAATCCTCTCATCTGTAATTTAACCTCTTACTTTCCTATTCTGTTTAAAAAAATAACATGTGTAAGTTCAATGTTTACAATGTGATGATTTGAAACATGTATATATTATGAAATGATTACCACTATAAGGTTAGTTAACACTTCTATCCTCTCATATAATTATCTTTTTTGTTTTTGTGGTGATAATGTTTAAGATCTAATCTCTTAACTTTCAAGTGTATAATATACAGTATTGTTAATTATAGTCACCATTTGTACATTAGATTCTTTAGAACTTACTCATCTTTTGTATCCTTTGACTAGTATCTCTTCATTTCTCCCACCCTTCTAACCCTTCGGCAATTACCAGTTTGGTTTTTTAGATTTCACATGTAAGGGAGATCATACAATATTTGTCTTTCTCTCACTTATTTCACTTAGCATATGACCTCAAGGTCGATCCGTGTTGTCACAAATGGCATGATGTACTTCATTTTAAAGGCTGAATAATATTCTGTTGCATATATATACACATTTGCTTCATTGATTCATCCATCAGTGGATACTTAGATTGTTTCCGTGTCTTGGCTATTGTGAAGAATGTTGCAGTGAGTATGGGACTGCAGATATTTCTTCAATATCTTGTTTTCATTTCATTTGGATAGCTCTATACTGCTATTTTACTTGATTAGAAACAGTCATAATTCCGCAAGCAGAATCAAGATGACACATACCTGACTAGACACAGTGCTCCTCAATTATTCATTAATACCATGTACACAGTTATCTCATTTCACAGTCACCATGGAATATACAAAATCATGATAAATAAGAGTTTGTACAGACACCTTCAGTTTCCTATCTCATCCACTTCACAAAACCACAATCCCACGGACCTTACATAACTCCACTAAGCCCATCTCATAATTCCATACAAGAATACCAAATTTTTGAAACCACTTACTGCATAGACACAATGAGCTTCAAACACACATCACTAACAGTTATTCTGCAAGGTTTATCAACTTCTTAGAAAGCTAAATATAGGGGCACCTGGGTGGCTTAGTGGGTTAAGGCCTCTGCCTTGGGTCCGGTCGTGATCCCAGAGTCCTGGGTTCCAGCCCCGCCATCCAGCCCCTCTCGGGGCACTCTGCTCCGCGGGCAGCCTGCTTCCCCCACTCTCTCTGCCTGCTTGTGACCTCTCTCTCTGTCAAATAAATAAATAAATAAAATCTCAAAAAGGTTAAATATAAACTGACCTATTACCCAGCATTTTTTTTTTCTAGGTATTTACCCAGGAGAAATGGAAACGTGCCAGCTTTATTCATAATATATAAAACCTGGAAATACAACAAGTGTTCACCAAGAGAAAAACGAATAAACAAACTGTGGCATATTCACACAACTGAATGCTATCCATAAATAAAAAGAATGAACCACACAACATTAATAAACCTTACAAAACTGGGATGTGCAAAAGGAGACATATGTAATTGCAGAACTGACAAAACTAAATTACGGCGTCGTATCTCATAACTATGGCTGTTTCTGTTGTGAGACTGACTGGAAAAGGACACCAGAGAACTTCCTGGCAGTGATGGTATAAAACCCGCACCAGGGCAGGAATACACATACGTAGCCTCTGCTGTGTGCCAGATGCCATTCTGGGTGCTAGGGCTTTCTCAAGGGGCAAAACCGACAACAAAACTCGGCACCCTCTAATTCACGACCCCGGACCTGCGGTACCGCAACATGTAGGCCTGAGGGAAGAGAAACCTCCACAGGCTCCCCGTTCTCGTCTCAGCCATTTCCGCCCAAACTGCGGTACCCATTCAGCCTTTCTTGGCCCGATCGCGCTCAGCACGGATTCCCAATTCCTTCCTGGTTCTCCTACGCCAGGTTTCGGATTCTTTCCTTTCTCCTCAACGCTCCGGGATTGGGGAGTCCGCTTCTCTCCTGGTCCTCCCGGACGCAGGTTTCTTCCATCATCCTCTTCGCCCCGCCTCCGCTGGCTTCCGCTTCCCTTTTCCTTATTTCCCCAACCAGGTTTCCAGTTACTTCCTCGGCTGGGGCTCTGGTTCAACCCTGGACCCCACCTCGCTCTCAAAGAATCAGCCGGCTCTTCGGCGTCTGAGGGGCCGCCCGTGGCAACCGTCCTCCGCCCAGGAGGAGCGACCCGCGCACCCTGTAACTCCCAGGACTCTCCCGGGGGTAGCGCGGACTTTGCGACCGTTGCCCTCCCGGCTGCGCTCGAAAACCGGGACATTTTCAGTGTTGGACTACGTTTCCCACAGGCCCCAGGGACACGAATGAACTTCGACTTTTGGTTCCCCTTCCGGTATCGTCGTGGTTATTGGAGTATGCCTGGTGAGTTGAGCTGACCCAGGTTGCGTTGCGGGAGCGGCTCTCGGTGTGGAGGACCTAAGCTCCGTGGGCGCGGGGGGTGGGGCGGGTGGAGCCAGGGGGCGGGGCGGGTGGAGCCAGGGGCCTCGTCCCGGGCGTGAACCCGGGAGGACGTTGGTTTACGGTGTTATTGTCTGTGACGAGTTCATTGTGGGGCGTTAGTGCACGCGCGCGCACGCGTGTGAGTGAGAGTGTGTGACGGGCCCTGAAGTGCCCGGACTGGTATACGATTGGGCTAGTGGGACTATCAGTACATAGTCTCCGGTGATGTGGGTGTCTGATACTGGGACCGAGTGATCTGTGACAGCTCGGTTGTACTCAGTTTGAACGAAGTGGGTGTGGGTTTTTGTTTTCCCCAGTAAACCTGTAGGAGTTTGAAGTTTTGTTGTTGTCGTTGTTGTTTGATGAGCTTGTAAGAGTGTGTAAAATAGTTTTTTTTTTTTTAACATACATATATTACCTTGTCCTCAGTACCCAGCCTGGTGCTCAACACAGAGGAGACATTGGTGAAGTGAGTGTTGCCCACCCAGGATCCACTCTTAAGTTCCATGGTTCCTTGGAACGTGTTTCCCTGGATTCTCCTCTGTTCTTACACCCTAGGGCCAGTTTGATCTAGCTGTAGAGAACTAGGTATCAGGGGAAGTCATTGATTTCATGCCTAGAATGAAAGTTCCAAGCAGGACAGTACATCTGAAGTCATGGGATGAGAATTTAGCCTTGCGCTTGACTTCAAGACAGACTTCTGGAAGACATGAGGGGAGGGGCACAGGGTAAAGGATTTCTTCCTGAGCAAACCTCTTTTGACACACCGGAGGGCATTTACATGTTTCAGAACCACACGTGTGCCCCCTAGAAACTGCTGTGAACTTAGATTCCAGCACTGGTTACAGGTGATGTTGACCTGTTTTTCTGATATTGGTAAAAGCAGTATCCTAGTTACCTCTTACTTCCACCTGGGCGTATGATGGGTAATGGATTATGTCTGATGGTGGACAGTGTGTTCTTACGTAGCCTGTCCAGGGTCTCAAGAGTTTCTTCTTGGTCCTGTAGTTCTGCAAGAGAAGCCCCCTGAAGTGGAGGAGAGCGCTGCCACTTAAAAGCCGGTTCAAGGTCAGTTCATGTTTATTTTTCTGTCATGTATATTTATTTTACAGAACGTTAAATATTTGCTATCGTTCTAAATGTGAAGACCTAATTGTGAGCTGTCCATTTACCTGGTCCCTAGGTTGCTCCTTCCCAATTAATAACAGGACCATAGAGATGAGTCCCCTTCTCTTCTAGTGCCTTTGCAAATGCTTTTTTCCTTCTCAGTTAATATTCACATTGCTGTTGGTTTACTCAATTTCCCCATGTGCTCTTTTCTTTCCAAAGGATGGTACAGAAATAGAACTAGTTGAACTCTTCAAGGATAAACTAAGGAGTTATTTTAGAATGTGTGTTGTCAAGGAAGAGACTGGTGGTTAGGTAGAATAAAACACCAGATAACCTTAGATTTTATTCATAGACTTGATTTTCAAAGTCAGGAAGACATTTTAGGAGTAGGAATATGATTGGAGTTTTGTGAAGAGTGGTTCGTGTGAAGAAGGGCAGGGAGTTTTTCCTGAGAGTCCATGAGATAAGAATGGTGATGATTATGTCTTGAGATTTGGCAGTATGACTCTCTTTCAGACCGCAAAGTGGTATAGACTGCGAGAGGCAGCATCTTCTGATGGAAATACAATGCAGGCCACTTGTGTAATTTAAACATTTTCTTCTGCACACATTTGAGAAAGTTAAAAGAAACAGTTGAAATTAAGTTGGATAATATAACTTATTTTAACCAATATATCTAAAATATCATTTCAACATGTAATAATATAAGTAAGTGGAAATATTTTAAATTCCTATCTTCATACTAAGTTTTCAAGGTCTGATACATATTTTACTGTTATAGCACTTCTCAGTTTGAATGCTAAATTTTCAGTGGTTATGGTAAAGTGTAGTTTTATCAAAACAAGACCAGTGCTCTAACCCCTGAGCTATGGAGCCCAGTTTTATCAAAACAAGTTTTATCAAAACAAAACAAAAAAATAAAGTTGTGTTTAATTGAAAAACATTTTATACTGCTTTTGTATTTGAATTAAAAATTAAAATGGAAAATTCAGTTCCTTGTTCACTCTAGCCACATTTCAAGGAGGTCAGTAGTTATTATTCTTTATGTTTTATAATTTTATGTTGTAAAATGTAGATAATAATCATATTAATGCCTGTTTTTGTAAAGATTGGATACATTGATCTGGGCACAGCCCTAGAGCACTTAATAACAGTCTTGCACTTAACAAGTACTCAAGAAACAAAACTGTTGTTATGTGAAGATTCTAAGTATTCACTGTAAATTTTCTATAAATCAAGAACAGTGAAAATATAAAATTAATTTTGATGAGCATTTATTTATTTTTAAAGGTTTTATTTATTTGACAGAGAGAGAGAGAGAACGAGAGCAGGAATACAAGCATGGGGAGTGGGAAAGGGAGAAGCAGGCTTCCCACCAGGTAGGGAGCCCAATGTGGGGCCTGATCCCAGGACCCTGGGATCATGACCTGAGCTGAAGGCAGATGCTTAACGACTGAGCCACTCCGGCACCCTTGATGAGCATTTAAAAGAATCTTTGAAAATCACATTTGCTGATGTCCTACAGTCGAATTTAACCTAGGGACACCTGGGTGGCTCAGTCCGTTAAGGGAATGCCTTTAGCTCAGGTCATGATCCCAGGGAGCATGGAACTCCCTCCTCAGTGGGAAGTCTGCTTCTCCCTCTCCACTCTCCCCCAGCTCCTGTTCGCTCACTTTCTCTCAAAAATAAATTGGGGGAAAAAAACCAAAAAACAAAGTACTTCTTAACCTAAGGCAAATTGATTCTATTTTTGTTCTCACGGGGACCATAAATCTCTTGAAATTCTATTCAAAATAATTCAATATAATGCCTAACACTTTTTTTTTTGGTTTGTTTTATTTGCAGAGTATCCTTAATTTCTTGGGGTTACATGAAACATATATGAAAGTTAAAAACTAAGTTAATCACATTCCATAAATGTGATATAATACCATATAGGTAAGAAAAACTATGTAGTCTTAAAAAGGAAAATGATGTTAATATTATACAATATATTTACATAGGAAGAAGAATACTCCAAATGGCTAATATTGTATATGAATCAGTTTTACTAAGATTGCATTTGTAAGCAATCTTGTAAAAATATATCTAAAATATCACTCATTGAATAATAAAGGAATGAAGGCATGTATAAGCACATACTCTGTACGAAACACATTTTTGCCTCATTTACACACGTTTTTGTTAGCCTTTTTAATAAAATTCAGGAAAACTGAACCAGAATTCAAGTAAATTTGAAGACCTAATTGGCTTTACTGATTTCATGAATCAGGCAGCATCCCATTTAACAAATAGTAGGGAGCTCCACTGAGCTGAACAAAAGGAAGGTTTTAAAAGGCAGAGAGGGCATTAAAAAAAAATTTATTAGCAAGGAATGCATTGTTTAAGCAGGGTTAACCTCCTCAAGAGAGCTGACGGGGTCCATCAGTAAATTTCATAGTTTTGACCAGAAAATTCCATGTTGACTGGTTAAAGGTTACATTTCTTGGGGGTTGAAATTGCAGTTAGGTTAGGTATTAAGTCTCACTTTACTGACTTAGGGCCTAACCTATGTGATGCTATTTTGGGTCTGTGGCTTTCTTTTTAACAATTCCCCTCCTTTGATCAGCTTAACTGAGAGATCAGAATTTAACACGTTAGCACAATTCGCTACCACTTGTTAGTTCTTGCCGCTTTTGGTGATTCTTTGTGCCGCATTCACAGGTCCTGACTTTTGGCTTTATCTCTGATATTCATAGGTTACAACTGTAGGTTCACAGTTTTTAAGTCAGTCATCCTCTTTTTTCCTTTGTGATATTCATTTGGTTAGTGGTTAGTGGCTGCAAACGTGCACCTAATGCTTTTGAGAGAATATAAAGCATCAAGGAGATTATTATGATGACTGTAAGTGGGATAATTCTCAATGTTAGGGGTGCACTTTGAAGCCATGATCCCCAAGACCCAGACAAATCAAACTCAAATAAGTCAAAGATAGGGACGCCTGAGTGGTTCAGCTGGTTAAGCAGCTGCTTTCGGCTCAGGTCATGATCCCAGCGTCCTGGGATCGAGTCCCACATCGGGCTCCTTGCTCGGCAGGGAGCCTGCTTCTCCCTCTGACTCTGCCTGCCACTCTGTCTGCCTGTGCTCACTCTCATTCTCTCTCTCTGACAAATAAATAAATAAAATCTTAAAAAAAAAAAAAGTCAAAGATAAACTCCTGTGGAGGGGCGCCTAGGTGGCGCAGTGGGTTAAAGCCTCTGCCTTGGGCTCAGGTTATGATCCCACAGTCCTGGGATCGAGCCCCGCATCGGGCTCTCTGCTCCACGGGGAGCCTGCTTCCTCCTCTCTCTGCCTGCCTCTCTGCCTACTTGTGATCTCTGTCTGTCAAATGAATAAATAAAATATTTAAAAAAAACAAAAAAATAAACTCCTGTGGAAGGCATCATCTTTTTAAGTGGCTTTTTTGGTGATCTTATGTAATTGATTTCTACCTCCCCAGGAGTGTTAATCCACGTGTAGCAGGTGGTGTTGTACACAGCACAGATACCTCCTTGCTCAGCTAAAAGATAATTGAGTTATGCCGTTATCGAGAACAACTTTGTCTAGGCCAGCCCTCTCAGGTCCCCTTCCTTTTTGGGAGCTTTTTACTATCACTTTGCTATCCCTCAATAAACCTTGCTTTGCTGCCTGCCTCCCCTCAAAAAAAAAAAAAAAAAAAAAAGAACTTTTTTCTTGAGAGTCTAAAGGTTTTTTTTGGACAGTTACTGCTTTAGCAGCAGATTGTGCAAAAATTTCAAGAACTAAGAAGTTAGCTTCATTTATATCAATCCCTAACCACTAAGGATAGGAACCTGCCAAAACAAGTGAATCTTGAATCATGAGTGCCTCCTTGTAGATCCTTTATAACTTGATGATGGAAATTCAGATGTCTTATTTTACTTATGAAAAGTTAGGGGCACAGTTAGATTTTCTCCTCACCTGAAATAAAAGGGTCTAAATTCCAAAGGTTACCCCTTCTGCCCCCAGTAATGGCCTGGAGATAAAGATGAGGGTGTTCTCTTTCTAGGCCAAAGCCAAAGAAAAGAAAAGGAACAGAAGGAGAAAGGGTTTCATATGTAAAGTATGAAGTATTGATCTGTAGTCTTGGGTGAAAGCAGTCTACCTTGATCTCAGCTACTTCTCTTCCTTGTCAATTTGATTTATAAATCTCCAGCATCTGTATGCCATCAAGTGTCATGTGGAACCTTCTTTAGTTGTGTGATGTATACCCAAGGCTCAGTACCTTCTAGTTTTGCAGCAGTGTTAGTGGTTAGGAGCACTTGGTAAGTAACGCCCTCTTTACAACTGTCTCAGGGCTGTCTTTTTCTGGTGATTGTTGGAGAATACCCAATTACCAGGCTCTGTACTGACAAACCACACCCTTTGAACTGGGATCCAGGAAGGCTTCTTTACCTATAGATGATAAGTGTGAGCCTAAGACATTAGAGACATTAGAATAGCTGGTCATACTAGCATGAGACAATAAAGGATCAGCAGAAGGTTGTATACTGATAGGATTTCAAGAAGTTTATAAGGTCTGGGGTGCCTGGGTGGCTCAGTGGGTTAAGCCTCTGCCTTCAGCTCGGGTCGTGATCTCAGGGTCCTGGGATTGAGTCCCACATCGGGCTCTCTGCTCTGCAGGGAGCCTGCTTCCTCCTCTCTCTCTCTCTGCTTGCCTCTCTGCCCACTTGTGATCTCTCTCTGTCAAATAAATAAAATCTTAAAAAAAAAAAAGTTTATAAGGTCTTTGTTAAGGCTTGTATGATTTGTCCAATGAAGTGGGTGTCTCGATCACTGCAGATCGTGGATTGTATATACCCCAAATGGGAAACACACTTGTTAATAATATTTTTCTTTGCCACTTTGAGACCTTGTGACGTGTGAAGGCTTTAAGGGAAAACACACGTACAATAACAATCCGTACTGACTGGCAGCAGAAT